GTCTCTGCTGAACCTAAACTAGCAACAGTAAAGCACATGCAAAGCTGCTGGGTCCTGCTTTGAAGTTTAGTATATGGGTAGTTGTCAAAATTATGGTCCCTTTTGGGGTACCCGAAATAATAGGTGCCGTATTATAATAAGGACCCAAAAAGGGACCCTACTTTAGAGAACTACCCATGTGACATCCCGAGAGTCTGATTGGGTTCCGACTCAAGCCGATGTGCCAATTTCGTCATCCACGCTTCGGCCGAACCTCTCCACATCGCCGACTTAAGAAATGCAATATAATGTAATATAATATATTTTAATATAATAAAGTATAATATAATATAATGATATCCTGATGTACTGCTAGTATTAACTGTTATTTGGTGTTGTTCTTCTCTGCTCTGTTTTGCTGGGTTTGTTTGAAATGCTTCATGTTGTCAATATGTTCGGGTACACTCTGCATATTGAGTTATATTCTGGTGTACTTGATTATGCACCCCCTTTATGTCGCTATGTTTCGTCACATTGAATTCTATGATCCCTATCTATTCTCCCTATCAACTTACATTCCCCTGTATCCCATTTCAACTTATGTCCATTCTCTTCTGTTGTATTGTGTTATATGATATGATCTCACATCATGTCACGGTACCGGCTCTAGATTATACTGTACTGTGCTGTACTGTACTGTACCGTACTGTGCTGTATGGTATTGTATTCCCTAAACCCTAAACCCTGAGCCGTAAGAAACCAAGCCTTATAATTACAAGCCTTACTGGACTGAGTTATGTCTTGAGGCCCTTAAGCCTAAACCCTAAACCCGAAACCCTGAAATGGCGTTTTTCTTATGGGGCGAGAAGTGAGAGTGGCTTTAGTCAGATGTGTGCCGACGCTGGCAGGTACAACAAAGGTGCGCCTTCACAGCTCTAAAAGAAAAAACCTGGACCCTAAACCCCTAAACCCCTGAACCCCTAGCCCCTAAACCCCTAAACCCCCAAAGCCCCTAAGCCCCTAAACCCCTAAACTCCTAAACCCAAAGCCCCTAAGCCCCTAAACCCCTAAAACCCCTAAGCCCTAAGCCCCCAACGGACTGAGTTGCGACTTTAGGCTCCAGTGGGGGGCGGGGTAGCGCACCGCCCATCTGCCGATGCTGGCACCGGTCGGAGACCTTCATGGGCTTGGGGTTCGGGGTTGAGAGGTTTAGGGGTTTTGGGGCTTGAGGGGCTTGGGGTTCGGGGTTGAGGGGTTTAGGGGTTTAGGGGTTTGAGGGGCTTGGGGGGTTTAGGGGTTTAGGGGTTTAGGGGTTTAGGGGTTGAGGGTTTAGGGGTTCTGGGGTTGGGGAATTAGGGTTTAGGGTTCAGGGGTTTAGGATTTTGGGGGTTGGGGCTTTGCTCTCGCATGTAATCTTCCCCTAAGGCTCCAAGTGCCCATACAGTACTTGTGCGTATATAGGAACCCCTGTAAGGCCTAAGTATTTGCTATATGGGTACCTGGAGTCGGAGGTTCAACCATCTGGGGCGATGGTTGTGGGGTTTAGGGTTCATGACGCCCCGCAAACAGTTTGGTCGACGTTGTTTCCGAAATTCCTGCCAGTTAAGGCTTGGGCATTGAGGAGCTTGTTTTCTCAACAACGGCACCCGTGCAACTCACACTAATCCCCTAAACCCCCAAACCCCAAACCCCAAACCCTCCGACCCTCAAACCCTCAAACCCTCCAACCCTAAACCCTCACGATGCCCGACCCAGCAAGAACTTCGCCGAAGCGGACCGAGCCGTCAAACCTGTACTGCTCCGGATCTCCAGACCCTCTTCAGTAGTGGTACGTCGTAGTAGTCGTGGTAGTAGCAGTAGCAGTAGCAGTAGCAGTAGCAGTAGCAGTAGCAGTAGCAGTAGTAGTAGTAGTAGTAGTAGTAGTAGTAGTAGTCGCCGTCGGACTAGAAGTAAAAATAGAAGTAGAAATAGTACACACCCACAGTAGTAGTTGTTGTCGTCGCGGTGGTGGTAGTAGTATCACCTTAAGGTTTCCAAGGGGTTGAGTTTCGGTTAAGCAATGAGGGCCGTTGCAACTCTTCTGTTTCCCAAGTTGAACCCTTGCGTACCCGCACTCCCCCAAAATTGCATCGTGATGTTTCCAAAGGCTCGACATTTTGAGAATGCCCCAAATCACCCTGCAGAGCCTACTATATATCTAGTATAACTGTATGAGAAGTATCATACGACAGCTACTAGCAAGACCTTGTTATGCAGTCTATTACCGCGAAAGTACACTTGCTACAGTCTGTCGTAGAATAGCATGGTCGGTATGATCTGATAGATACCACAAGATGTCATAACATGGCATAATGCTGTAGCCTGAATGATGACCTATGCTATTTTCGGGGTTCCTTAGTAGTATAACTATAGTGTAATATACCCCAAAACCCGATTCTTATTATTGAGGCCCCTTTGCACTACAGCCTCATAGTATCCTTCATAGTACATATAGTACCCCGCATAAGCAACCCTTAAAAGTAACCCCATTCAAAAAAACCCTCGATATAGGTACGCAGGACCCTTTGGGTAATACCATCGATCCCTTATAGAACCCTCTACGGATCCCTTTGGAGGGGGCCCTCATAACTTAAACCCTAAACCCTAAACCATAACCCTACTTA